ATGTAGTCAATTTGATTTCTATGTATTCCATCTGGTGAGGTACATGGGTATAGTCATTTCTTATGCTGTCTAAAGAAGGTATTTGAAATGAACATATCATTGGTATTGCAGAATTCTATCATGCGTTCTCCAGCATCATTTCTATCAACAAGGCCATATTTTCCAACTACTGATCCTTCCTCTTTGCTCCCAACCTTTGCATTCCAATCACCAGTAATGATCAAAATATCTTGATTGCATGTGTGATCAATTTCAGATAGAAGAAGTTGGTAGAATTCTTCTATTTCATCCCCACTGGCTTTAGTGGTTGGTGCTTAAATTTGAATAATAGTGGTATTAACTGGCCTTCCCTTTAGGTGCATGGATATTATCCTAACACAGACAACGTTGTACCTCATGACTGATCTGGGTATGTTCTTTTTGACAATGAATGCAACCTCATTTCTCTTCAATTTGTGATTCCCGCCATAGTAAACCATGTGGTTGTCAGATTCAAAATGGCCAATAGCAGTTCATTTCAGCTCACTGATGCCTAAGATATCGATGTTTAAAGAGGACTTAAAATATTTACTGATGAAGATTAAAGAGCACAGCCTTCGGTATGGATTGCATCTCAATGCAAAGAAAACAAAAATCCTCACCACTGGACCAATAGCATTTTCATCAACAGAGAAAAGATTAAAGTTGTCAAGGACTTCATTGATCAACTATCAACACTCACGGAAGTAGCAGTCAAGAAATCAAATGACATATTGCATTAGGTAAATTTGTTGCACAAGACCTTTTCAAAGTATTTAAGAGCAACGATGTCAGCCTGACCCAAGCCATGGTATTTTCAATAACCTCATATGCATGTGAAAGCTGCACAGTGAATAAGGAAGACTGCAGAAGAATTGGTACTTTTGACTTCTGGTGTTGGAGGAGAATATTGAAAGTGCTATGGGTTGCCAAAAGAACCAATAGATCCATTTTGGAAGAAGTGCAGCCAGAGTGTTCCTTGGAGGCCAAGATGGCCAAACTTCATCTCTCATACTTTGGACATATTGTCAGGAGGGACCAGTCGCTGGAGAAGGATATCATGTTTGGTAAGGTGGAGGGTCAGAGAAAAAGAGGAAGACCCCCAGCAAGATGGATTGGCTAAGTGGCAGCATCAATGGACTCAAGTGTGGCAACAATTGTGAGGTTGGCCCAGGACCAGGCAGTGTTTCGTTCTGTTGTGCATAGGGTCACTATGAGTCGGTACTGACTCGATGGCACCTAACAACAACAACATCTATGTTATATATGTTGCTAAGTATCATCAAGTCCGACTCATTGTGACACTATATAGATTTCCAAGGAGCAGCTGGTGGGTTTGAACGGCTGATCTTGTGGTTCACAGTCCCCTGTTGATCCCACAGTGTCACACCAGTAGTCCATATGCTGCATACACAATACTGCATTATCAGTAATAACAGTAATAACAGACATTAATCTACAAGTATACACATAGGAAGAAGAACAGGAGTTGAATAGATTAATGGAACTACACCCAGAACCATATATAGGTTTGACAGCGTGAGTGCAATTCCACTAGCCTATTCATATCTGTTCTTCTTGTCTATCTTCCTATATGTACACTTGTAGATTAATATCTGTTATAACTAATAATGGACTCCTGGTGTGGCGTTGTAGGGTAAGCATTCAACCGTTAGGTCAATTTGACCTACAATGTTGGAGGCCAAATCCTCCAGTCACTCCTCGGAAATCCTATACAGGGTAGCTATCAATTGGAATTGATTTGATGACACTTAATAACAACCACAGTATTACTGATGATGCAGCATTGTGTATATATACAATAGTATTTGCCTTATTGTCTGCAGCTCTCCTTGTCTTTCTCTTCCTTAGTAGTGGTGTACTGATCATCCCCGTATAATATATTGCCTTTGGTCTAGAAATTCCACTTGCATGAATTCTGAACCTCACCTGAGTCATTACTGACAGCTTATTGATAAGTCTTCTCCCATGGGCACTGCCTGCCTGCACAGTTGTAAGTACAATGTAATTAAGTGCTTTAATAAAGCACAACATAACTAAGTGTAATACAAATAATCCATGTTATTTATGTTATTAAAAATAGTTGTTGATCCTCCCTCCCCCAGAACATGTTATGTGACACACTATGCTGGGCTTGGGGTCATCCAAGTGATGTAGGATCAACATGATCCACATACACACTCAACATGCCAGGTCCCTCCCTGGCATTTCCCGGCAATTTCTTGACACACAGAGTCACCATTGCAGAGGGTGATCCTGCCATGTGACAAAGTGAAATCATGCTTTGTCCATATTGGTGTGGTCTTCTCTACCGAAAGATCCTTGGCTGCCGGACACAGGGGACATTCTATGACCTGATTGCCAATACCCTTCACAATCAAGCTTCCTCCCAGCCACTAGAGGAAGCTTATTGATAAATTTGCCTCCAACGGCAACTGCCTGCCTGTGCAACAACTGTCCCCACATTTTCTGGCCTCAGGGAGCCCACATCCTCTGTACTTTTTCCAACCCTCCCCTATTTCAGTGGTGGCTCCCAAGAAGCGTTCTCTGACATGACCTGTTGTTGTGTTAAGTGTCATCGAGTTGGTTCCGACTTACAGTATTCCTGTATAGGGTTTCCAAGGAGCAGCTGGTGGGTTTGAACTGCCTACCCTGTGGTAGCCTAGTGTGTTACAAGTTGGGTTGCTAATTGCAAGGTCAGCAGTTAGAATCTACCAGCCATTCTGTGGGAGAAAGATGAGGCTTTCTTTTCCCATAAAGATTTATAGGATATAAATTTATAGGATATATAGATTTATATATATATAGCATTTATATATATGCTATATCGGGTTGCTATCAGTTGGAATCGACTCCACAGCAAACCACCACTACCACCATTTTGTGGTTAACAGGCCAGTGCTTATCCTACAATGCCAACTGTTGTTGTTGTTGTTAAGTGCTGTTGAGTTTATTTTGACCCATAGTGACCCTGTATAGGGTATCTAAGGAGTGACTGATGAGCTTAAACCACTGCCCTTGCGATTCAAATGACTTTGCAGTCTGGTGCATTAACCCACAGTGCCACACCAACTATTGTTGTTGTTAAGTGCCGTCAAGTCGATTCCAACCCATAGCAACCCTGTGTAGGGTTTCCAAGGAGCAGCTGGTGAGCTTGAACCACCGACCTTGCAGTTCAAATGACTTTGCAGTCTGACACATTAGCCCACAGCACCACACCAGGACCAACTGTTAGTATGGATTATCTTCCTTTCTCCTCCTCAATTTATGTTGACATTCAAACTCCTGGTAAGTGAATCTGAATCTTTTTGGAAATAGTGCCTTTAAAGATGTTATCAGTTAAAGTTAACATGAGGCCATGCTGAGGAGAATGATTCCTAATCCCATCTGAGTTATTGTTAAATTGGTTCCAACTCATAGTGATCCTATATACAGATTCTGAGGAGCAGCTGGTGGGTTTGAACTGCTGAACCTTGCAGTCCAGTGCTGATCCTACAGCACTACACCAGGACTCCAATCCCATCTGAGTGGTGGCCTTTTAAATGGAGAAGAGGCAGAAAGAGACATCTGAAGGGCACCATGTGATGGTGCAGCAGAAGCCAGTGACCACCTGAAGTTACCAGAAGATGGGGGAAAGGATTCTCCCTCAAAGCCACAGGAGAATCCAACATGGCGGATGTCTTGATTTCTGACTTCCAGTCTCCAGAATTGTGAAACCAACACATTTCTATTCTTATACGTCATCCAATTTGTGGTATTTTGTTAGTGCAATCGTAGGAAACTTATATACCCTCATTATACTCTACCTTCACTGAGCACACACTCTAGCCCATTAGTGTATACACTGTTTTTTAAATTCAGTTTTGCTTCATGTATACCTATCTTTCCAGTAACAAGATTTCCTAAAGCTGGTGCTATAGCTTATCATAGGGGACGGATAACAGGATATGAAGCCAAAAAAATTTCAGTTTAAAGTTTTGTGATATTGGATAAATTACTTACCTTCTTTGGGTTTGAGTTTTATCATTTATTAAATGGGAACAACAGTAGGTTTTTAGGCCATGTGGTTAGTGGGATAGCTGTTGGCAACTTTGCACAATGCAGAGAGCACACTGCCATATCTTTCTCCCATGGAACACTGGGCTAAAACTGCCAACCTTCTGGTTAGCAATCCAATGCTTAATCCATGGTTCTACCAGAGATCCATCCTACCAGAGCTTGTTGTTGTTAAGTGCTGTCGAGTCAGTTCTGACTCACAGTGACCCTGTATTGGGTATCCAAAGAGTGACTAGTGGATTTGAACTGCCCACTTTGTGTTTCAAACCGACCTTGAGATCCAGTGCATTATCCTGCAGCCTGCTAAGAAAACATTTAGTTAGAAAGTATATATTTAGAAAGTGTTAGTTCTCTCTGCCTTATTCTACTTTGTAGTGGGGTTTAGTCTGTAGTCATTTTAGATGGCATCTTGTGGTCTGACCTTTTTCTCAAGGACACTAAGAATCCATGAGTGCCCAGCAGAGGATAGTGGCAGTTGGTGGAACAGAGTAGTCCCTTACCTGATGATGGTCAGAGGGATGAAGTACACCAGGAAGGCCACGATGGTCATGTACGGTGTCCAGTAGGAGTCATCAGGCCACAGAGCCCAGCACTGCACTTCTCCATTAGAGAGTTTTCTCTTCCCAAATATGATCAGGGTGGGGATGGAGAACAGGAAAGAGAGGCTCCAGGCGATCCCAATGAGGACCTTGGCTTGCTTCTCTGGTCAGAGAAAAAGGGATATCTGGGCACCTGGAAATATTGTTGGGGAGCACCCCTGGAGTCTAGTGTGGACAAGGACTACTCTTGGAGTGATCTTGAACTTTTCAATGCCTCTGAGAGTCTCAGTTCCTCATGCATAAAATGAAGCTAATAGTACATGCCATAGAAAGCTGAGTAAGGATTCAAAAGAGAATGCTGTTACGAAGCTAGCATGCTGTCTGGCAGCAGGAGATCACCACTCCCCAATTTCTACTTCCGTTCTTCTTCCCTGATTTACATACCTGACTCTTGAAATGTTGATGCATACAGACCTCTAGTATTAGGGAGCTCAGTTTGGACCATATATACTTATTAGGTCACTGTGGAAATGCTAAGTTGTATCTACCACCATGAACTCAGCCTTTCTGATCCCCCCCTGACTCTGCACAGGCAGGAAGAGGGACCTTGTACATCTGGTTTTCTCCCATTGTACCTACAACTGCAACACCCTGGGACAGTATTTTATGGTTGTGGCCAATGTTAAGAAGTCCAAACAAAACAAGTGGACCACATTTACCTTTTTTTCTTGGTAGGAATAGGGGAGGAATTGTGGGACGGAGAAATAATACTAAATTTGGTTCTAGAAACCAGTGTTCACATGTAGCCCTGGCCTGATGGGAAGCAGTAGGAGTTTGGTTCAGGAAAGAAGCATCAAGCAGAATGGGATTCAGAGAGCAGGTGATCCAACTACGGGAGTTTTCTTCTTCATGATGAGGATAAATCTTAGTGTGTTTCTAAGGACCTTGATAATGTTAGTGATTATTCCTGCATGGCTTTGTTCTTTTACTGGTTAAAAGCAAAACAAAACAAAACAAAACACAAAGGAGTTGTTGTCTATTACATCTTATGGTGACCCCATGTGTGTAAAATGAGGTGGTATGCTCCATTGGGTTATGAATACCTGATATTTTTTGTAAGTAGATCACAAGGAACTTTTCCTGAGGTTCTCCTGGATGAACTTGAACTTCCAACCTTTCAGTTAACAGCTATGCAGGCTAGCTGTTTGCACTACCCATTTTATCTACTTGTGTAGGTTGTAGAGCCTGGACTTTTGGGGCAATCTGTAACAATACATCCACCTTTGAGTGAGATGGGCATGGAAGTAATAGATTGAGAGAAGCAAGAAACTGCTTTACATTCTACCACTCAATAAAAACCCTCCATGCCGTCAAGTCAATTCCGACTCATTGTGACCCGATGGAACAGAGTAGAACTGCTCCTTAGGGTTTCTAAGGCTGAAAATCTTTACAGAAGGGAAACGTCTATCTTTCTCCTGTGGAGTGGCTAGTGGGTTTGGATCACTGACTTTATTGTTTTCAACCCAATGCTTAACCCACTATGTTTCCTATCAGGACACTTGCTTGGTGGCTTATGCACTAGGCTTCTAACCACAAGGTCAGCAGTTCAAATCTACCAGCCGCTCGACAGGAGAGAGATGAGACTTTGCTCCTGTAAACATTTACAGCCTTGGAAAATCTACACGGAGTGCTATAAATTGGCACCAACTCA